GCACCAAGACAGGAAAATGCCCACAGCACTGCACAGAGGGGCTGCAAGAACCACAGTGGATTAATTCTGGGTGAAAACTGAGTGTTTGCACTGAGCAAAAGGCTTCAGACACACACACAGCTGCTGTGCTCAGCCAGCTCCAACAGCAGCATAGAGGCTGAAGCAGTGCACCACATCCACACAAAGCCCCACAGAAATCTGCCTCTCTTTCACCAACATCTCTCCTATTACACTGCTCAGGGCTTCCCCCATTTGCAACGTCAGGGTATTCCCTGCAGCTCACCAGCTCCCTCCTTGATTGCTCTTACCTTCTTTCTTATTAGCTGGTGCCCATCTGTATCACTAATTAGGCTCTAACGAGTGGCAGTGACCTGGTGAAGCTGGGTCATTAGCACGAAGCTAAATGAACTCCATGGGAGGTGAAGCTCATGTTTTAGCAGATGAGAAGCTGACCTGGGGAAGGAGGACTTGGTGGTCCCTTTTATGATGGAAGGCTGTGAGCCAAGCCCACGAGCAACTCCTCAACAGAAATGGAGTGGGAATGCATGCTCGATGCCACCAGAAATCAAACTGAACATCAGTAATGACTTCTCCTGCCCTCAGCATCTATGATGTCAGCACAGAGCGCTGCTCAGTGCTCCCACTGCCCCTCCTGGGCTCCAGGTTGTCCCCATCGCTCCCCATCCTGGCACTGAGCATCACTGTGCAGAGCTGAGCTCCATCTCTATGCACCCCCTGGGGGATTTACGGCTTTGAGTGTGACCCCCTGATCCCCCTCACCCCACGGAACCCCCAGTCGGGCTGTATGATCCCACGTGCTGATGCTGCTATCAGCGCGGCCATCCTGGTGGGATGAGTGACAGCGGGTCAGAGCAGCTCAACCCCAACCCTGCGGACGCACCGCCGCTCGGTGGCATCTTGGTGGCAGCAGATGCCAGGGAAGGAAGGGCGGAAGGGAACGGTCTGAGTGATTCACAGCAAATTTCCGCCTCGTTCCCAGGGCGGATGTGCGCTAATTGGGGCGGAGGGAAGAGCGCAGCGCTGGAGGAGCCATTGGCATGCGTGGTCCTCCCGTCCTCCTCCACAATCACATCCTGTGGTGCCCGGCCACCCCCCAGCAGACTCCACTTTGTGTCCAGAGCCAGGATGGCAGCCCACCTCCTCACTCTATCGCAGCACTGATCTTTTCCAGGAGCTCCCATGGACCATATGAGGGCCAGGAGCACCACAGGCTGCTCTGCTTGGCACCCAGACCCACCATGGCACAGAACCCGCAGCAACTTGCTGCCTCTCCCTTCATCCCACCGAGGCAAAATTTAGCTCTCTGCAGCTCATTAACAACCCACTTAATTGCAGAGGTGCCTCTCCTGGCGGTATCAACAGCCATTCGTGGGCGGCCTGGGCGGCCTCCACAGCCCCTCCTAGCCCAGACACGTTGAGCAGAGTGATGCACTGCATGATCTCACCTGGCTCCCCACCAGATCTATGGGTGCAATGGGAGCTGGCACAGCCTGCAGGGCAGGGAGGGCTCAGAGGGCCCCATGCAGGTGTGCACACCCGGGGTCATTGAGTGCCCTCAGAAGACACAGGAATGAGGGCAGGCATCCTGTGCCTTGCTGCTCTGTGTGCATTCCTCTTCCCCCATGAGCCACCAAGTGACTTTGCTGTGGGAGGGAGCTCACATTCAGATCTATGGCCTTGTTCAGCTGGGCTGGCATCACTCAGGTGTCCCCTCGTTGTCATCACCCCCAAGGACAGGCATCTCTTTGGTGTCCCCTCACTGCCATCACCTCCAGGGGCAGGAATCACCTAGTGCCCCCTCACTGTCACCTCTCCCAGGGTCAGGCATCACTCCAGCATCCCCTCACTGCCATCATCCCCAGGGGCAGGCATCACGTCGGTGTCCCCTCACTGCCATCACCCCTGGGCTCACACACTGGACCGCACAAAACCCATTTTTTTTCCCACATAAAGTTATTTTCTCAATGACTTTTCCAAAGCTTTAGCCATTGCAAAACCCCACAGAGTCACTGCAACCATAAAAGAAAGACCCCCCCAAGGACCACCAAAAGGAGGCACCCAGCAGCAAAGGAAACCTCCCAACAACTCTATTTTCCACGCAGATCCCAGCAGCCTCCCACCACCAGCAGAGCCCCGGGCAGCGCTCACAGCCACAGCTCCATGCTGACCTACATTTTCGTTCCCAGGTAAACACTGTCGGCAGGCAGGAGGGCCGAGGGAGGCTCCGTGGGAAGGGAGCGATGCAGAACAGGACAGACCGGGGGAAATCCTTCAACCTTCCCTCCCACCCTTCCCTGCCAGTGCGATCTGCGCCCGTCAGCTGGTGGACGCGGGTGAGAGGGTGAGTGCGTGCAGTTCCCTTTTGCACTTGAAATAATGTGGTTTTGTTTTGGTTTTTTTTTTTTTGCTTTTTTGGGGTCATTTCAGTCCTCCCCTCAGGGCTCGGGGCAGCGACCAAAGGCACAGCCTTGCTCCTCCCTGCAGCTGATTCCTTCCTCCCAGTGAGCGCTGGGGATCGCTGTGGGGATGAGGCTCTCTCAGATTTAAGCAGGGAATGGGAGAGTGAAGAAACAAAGCAAATGAAGGTGGAAGTCCCATAGACAGCAAGGATGGGGGCAGCCTGGCTTTCAGCATCCAGCAAGGGGAGGTTTCTCAGCAACCAAATTTAGAGAGGCTGAAATGATCTTCCATTACTGAAGGGCTGTAGTGAGTATTATTGGTGACAGGAGGATGGTTGGACTGGATGATCTTGAAGGTCTTTTCCAACCTCAGTGATTCTGTGATTCTGAGGGGAGAGAGCAGAACCACCTTGCTGTGTCCTGATGCTTTTCTCCCCTCCAAGACCAGCAGCATCACTCCGACATGTCCAAGCTCATCAAAGCCATCACTGACATGATGGACGGCAGTGCCAGGAGGGGGAAGAAATCTGAATCCTTCAGCAGGAGTGAGTTTAAGAAGCTGATCCAGCAGGAGTTTGCTCCTGTCAAGGTATCAACATGGGCATGGTGCAGGGTGACATCTGGGGTTGGTTGATGAGGGCTCCTGCAGCACTCACTCTGCATCCAGCTTTAGAGTGAGATCTCCCAAATTGCTGATTTTTCCCAGGGTTTAGCTGTTATTGTGACCACCCTTTGTCTTCCTCTGCCCTTGGGATGGGGGAACACAGCCCTCACTTCAGCCTGGGGGGGGAGGGGATCTGATGGTCTCCTGTCCCCCAGAGGTCCTCCACCAGCAAGTACCACTACATCGGCAGCCCATTGGATTCAGACACTGAGCCCATGAACAAGAAGGAGAGGGGCTCCTCCAAAACCTGTGTGTACTGAGGGCTGCTCCAGGGGCACGGAGAGGAGGAGGTAAGGAGGGGCAGCAGGAGGGAGGTGCTCCCAGATGGCACTGCATTGCCTTGATGTGCAGGGACAGATCTGGGGCAGTGTGTCTGTCCCCCACCCAATTTTACCTCCCACGGTTTGCCCAGCAAATCTCCACCAGAGAAAATGGGATGGAGCTTTGCTCCCACTGGGGGATTCCAGCAGCCCTCATGAAGCCATAAAAGCTTTATCACCTTTTGTGGCAAGGTGATGATTGGGTGCAAGGTGATGTTTGGGGGCAAGGTGATGACTGGGTGCAAGCTCCATGCAAAACATTGCATCTACCTGGGATGGGCGGTGGATGGATGGGGTTTGGGGGGTGACAGCTTTAATGGGGTGCTCATGGGTGGCCGCCCCATGGAGTTTTGTCCCCACAGGATCTCTGATTTCCCCCGTGGGCGAAGCACAGCAGCAGTGGGCACAGTGTGATTGTGCAGCAGGGGGGACTTGAGGACGTGCCCCTCTCCACATATTACCTCCATGAGGAAAACTTAACTCTGTCTCTCCTATTTCCTTTGTCCCAGTGCTCCGCAGGTGTCTCTTTGGGATGCTTTGCAAATGGGGCTTCAAGATTTGGGGTGCTGGGGGCAGATTTGTAAATGTAACGGCGGAGCAGGGGCTGATGCATCAACCCTGTCCTCTGCCAGCTCCTTTAGGGCTTTAATGGGTAGAAAGTGAAAAATCACTACTCAGAAGGGTTGGAATGAGCCGTGCAATTAGTTGACTCAGGCTGCCCAGTACTAATGAATAAAGAGAGGCAATTATTCGTGGAAAATTAAAGGTCTGTGGCTAGGAGCTCATCTCCAGATGATTTGAAGTCGACAGTGACATTCCTGCGGGTTTGAGGGGACCAGAAATGCCCCTCAGCACTACAGAGGAGGTTTCAGCCCCATCAGTGCAGCTTGGCCTGTGCCCCAGCTTGGTTTTCCATTGAAAAAAGGGAATCCCTGCTTTCTTCTCTATTTTAATTTTAATTTTAGGAAAGCTTTTGGTCTCTGTAATCAGCCTGCAGAGGGAGGCATGGAGGATGGGGAGTGGGGCTGCCTTCCCCCTCTGTGTTTCCCCCATAGGGAAACCAATAGAACAATAATGAGGGAGGAAGGGAGGCACTGCAGAGGTTGAGTCTGTAATGTTTATATCAGGTCTGTAATGTTTATATATTCGTCTGTGAGCTTTTGGAAAGTCAGGGATTGAGATGGATCTCCTGGTAAGGACTCACTTTGCAATCACTTAAGCACAAGGATGGATGTTTTCTGCAGTAAGATATTCCCCCAAGTCAACATGAGGGGAATTTGGTCCTTCAGCTGTTACTGTGCCCACAGTGTAAATATCCCAAAGGGTTTTTTTGGTTTATTTTTTGTCCTTTTTTTTTTTCATAAATGTTTGTAACACCTTAAAGAAAGGCAATAAAAGAGGTACAAGAGGAAGCTGTCTGCTTGCCATGAGCCCCAGCAACCAGCAGCTCAACGCTGCAGTGCAAACACTATGGAGGTGGGGTAGCCCAACGGGGATGGGGCAGGAGCACAAAGCCCTGCAGGGTCTGGGGGGGTTGGGGTTGGTGAGAAACCCCAGGTGCATGGCAATCAGTGGGACATGGGAAGGTTTTTGGGTTTTCTCCATCACTTGGGGAGGAGGGCAGAGCTAAGAGAACACAGGGGTGATCCACATTTTCTGCAGCCAGAGTGTCAGAAGGACTGAAGGAGAGAAAGGCAGCCCATGCATGGTGTGAACACACGTGGGAAATGAGGATGGGAAGCTTAAGGAGACACAGAGACACAGGAGAGCTCTGGGACACATCATGCTTTATTGTGCTGCTGGCACCCAGGCTGGAGCACAGCCTCATGGAGCAGCAGTGGGGGAGCAGCAGTGGTGTCCCTCAGGGGTGGGAGCACACAGAGGGGAAGCAGGATGCCCTGGGGAGTGCAGAGCTCTGTGGGTGCTCCATCACTTCATCTTCTGCGACGGCAGCTGGTGGACCTGCTGCTGCTGCTGCTGCTGCTGCTGCTGGTGGTGGTAGTAGTGGTACTGGACCTGAGGCTTCCCATGGCAGCTGGAACCGCCGGAGCTGTGACAGCCACCGCTGCCACCGGAGCTGTGACAGCCACCACCACCAGAGCTGTGACAGCCACCACTGCTACCAGAGCTGTGACAGCCACCACTGCCACCACTGGAGCTGTGACAGCCACCACCTCCACCGGAGCTGTGACAGCCACCACCGGAGCTGTGACAGCCGCTGCTCTGCCGGGTGTAGCGCTCCTGTGAGTGGCACTGGTCCTTGTCCTGACGGGAGCACATGGCTGACTGCTGGGTGTCCTATGGAGAGAGGGGCTGTCAGGGGCTGCCACGTGTCCCAACGCCCCACAGCTCCCCTTTCGCAGCCCCAACCCACCAACGCTGCCCAGGGTCTCTGGATCCCTTTGGAGGGCTGTGGGTCCATTGCGGTGCCCCACACCCACCCATGGATGATCAGCTGGATGCCACCTCCTCCCTTTCACTCTGCCATCCCAGAGCATCCAATGCTTGCCTTCAACCTATGCTCCATGTCATCCCCAGAGAAGCTAAACCCATGCTGCTAGACTTACCCAAGCTTGAGAAGAAGGCAAGAGGAGGGAATGACAATCTCCAGGACAGGGGCAGTTTTATAGAGGTCCCAGATCCCTCTGCCCGGAAATGAGACAGCTCTCTGTCACTGCCATCTATTAATTTCATACCCAATCCTCATCAAACCGCCCTTTGTTTACATCTCTTGCCTGACTCATTGGAGATTGGTATCACTCCTTTTTTTATCTGTTTCCTGTGCCACATAAGTATCTAATTGGCAGCCTCACCTGTTCCTAATAGGGAAACCTGTGGGTGCCGGGGTTTCCAAAGGCTCATCTCTTTGGGGTTTGTTTTGTAAATCAAATCCAGGCATAATTATAGCCCTGTCCCATGAGGCTCCACTCTCAGAGTCTAATCCCTGCTATTGAGGTGGCCCTGGATAAATCCAGAACTAATCCAGGCACAAAGGAGTGTGGAGTTGCTCACTCTTCTCCATTGGGAAGCTTGAGCTCCATTGGGTGCTTGATCTGAACAAAGCTGCTTCACAGAACTGTGGGATGCTTTGGGTTGGAAGGGGCCCTCAATGACCACGCAGCCCAATGGTGTGCTGTGGGTGCACCCCCCTGGCCAGGCTGATCAAAGCCTCATCCCACCAGCCTTTGGACCACTCCAATGGCAAGGACATCCATGAGCATCCTGGTCCAGGATTTCACCACCTCACAGTGAAAAACGGTGAAAAACCTTATTCCTTCCCTAAGACCTCCTGGGATTCCTCTGGAGAGGTGTCCTAGGAGTTTATCAGTGGTCTTCCAGCTTCTCTCCATGAGATACAGGGTGTGAGTTTCCCCCAAAAGCACTGAGCTGCCAGAAGGCACTCTTGGTGTTGGCTGGAAGCCTTGCTGCCACCACAGCTGTACATCAGGTGTCTCAAAACAAAGCCCCCAACTCCTATCTGAGAAAGACCCACTGTTTCCATCATCTTCACCGCAAGGATGGGAAAGACTGATAAATTTAGAGGTGGGAGGGGAGAACCCCCTGGACCATCTGAGCTGAAAGCCGATGTCTTCCCCAGAAAGACTTCAGCTGTTCTTATTTCACAGCACTGGGCACTGTTAGTGCTGCTGAGCTTTGGCCCCTTCCTGGAAGCTGCTGGGTGGTTCCTGCTGGGCAGACACCCACTGGTGGGTGGGAGCTGCTGGGTGCTGTGCTCCACACATGGCCCTGCCTGAGCTGGGTGGGACGAGGGGTGAAGTGATGGTCCATAGGGTGTGAGCAGCTTTGCATCCGATGGGTGATGTCCATCCAGTGGCTCCTGGAGCTGTCCCTTATCTGAGGGGTCAGTGGGTGGGAGGGTGGCAGAGCTCAGAGTGTGAAATGTGGGTGGTGGGTTCTTCCTTTGCTTCTCGCCAAATACGTACAAATTCAAACTGCTGGCAGAGATTGTGAGGAGCAATTAGCAGCGAGCTGGGAGGGCACCACTGGGAGCTGCAGGCAGATCATGCAGCTCTCAGAGCACTGAAGGGCTCCTGTGCATCCCTCCCACCACCCCAAGTGATGCCCCGTGACTGTAGCCTGAGAACAAATGCATTTCTGTGCATTTCTTTGCATTGCTTGAGCCTTGTGCAATCTGTTTTTGTCTTTTCCAGAGGGTGTTAATGGCAGGCTCATCTTGTCCAGGTCAGGGGTGATGTACCGTACAGGAGAGTTTATTGCTTTTTGGGTGGTGATGTCATTCATGCAGTGAGAAAGGACACACGAAGGCGTTCAGCATAACCATGCACAAGGTTTCATAACAGCTTGTGTTTTCCTCGCAGTCGTTGGCCTCTCCCACCTGTCAGTTCAGCTTTTATTTAAGAGCAGAAACGATAGCAGCATGGAAGCAAAGAAGCCTGTGTACTTTTTTTTATTATTGTGATTATAGGAAAAGGGCAACTTTAAAATCAACCAAAACATCCAAGAGGTAAAGGAAAGGAATGTCAGAACATATGGCTAGCAAACACTTACGGGGTTTTCTTGGGATTTTGAGGCATTGCTGCTGGTCCTGGACACAAGGAACAGGCTGTGGGTTACGGCTGCACTCCAGCTCCTTTTCAGCCTTTCATAGGGCTGTGAGACCTCTGGGTGGGCTGCTTCCAGCTCGGCTCCAACTTCCAGCTCCCAGTTCCAGTCCCATCTCCCAGTTCCCAGTCCCATCTCCCAGTTCCCAGTCCCATCTCCCAGTTCCCAGTCCCATCTCCCAGCTTCCAGTCCCAGCTATGGAACCCCTTTCCTGGTGTCTCCCTGCCTTTCCAGCAGCACTGCCATATTCCATGTGTGCAGAGAAATGCATCCCCCTGTTAAGATATATGACATTGCCAACTCCATAGACCAACGTTCCACCAAAACCCAGCTGTATCCCTCGTGTATGAATGAGGAAATGGAGATGGGGAGCTTAAGGAGACACAGAGACAGGAGAGCTCTGGGACACATCATGCTTTATTGTGCTGCTGGCACCCCGACTGAGCACAGCTTCATGGGGCAGCAAAGGGGGAGCAGCAGTATTGCCCCTCAGCGTGGGGGCTCACAGAGGGGGCTCAGCAGGATGCCCTGGGGAGTGCAGAGCTCTGTGGGTGTTCCATCACTTCATCTTCTGCGACGGCAGCTGGTGGACCTGCTGCTGCTGCTGCTGCTGCTGCTGCTGGTGGTAGTAGTGGTACTGGACCTGAGGCTTCCCATGGCAGCTGGAACCGCCGGAGCTGTGACAGCCACCGCTGCCACCGGAGCTGTGACAGCCACCACCACCAGAGCTGTGACAGCCACCACTGCTACCAGAGCTGTGACAGCCACCACTGCCACCACCGGAGCTGTGACAGCCACCACCACCACCGGAGCTGTGACAGCCACCACCGGAGCTGTGACAGCCGCTGCTCTGCCGGGTGTAGCGCTCCTGTGAGTGGCACTGGTCCTTGTCCTGACGGGAGCACATGGCTGAGTGCTGGGTGTCCTATGGAGAGAGGGGCTGTCAGGACATCCTGCTTCTGCCTTGCCATGGAAAAGGAATCTGGAAAGTTACATTTATGTGCTCCTCCCAGCTCCCACAGCCTCTAAACCTCAGAATCACAGAGCCATACAACACCGGGGTTGGAAAAGACCTTCACGATCCTCAGGACCATCAGCCTGCCCTACTGAGTGTGGTCACTGAGCCTCTCTGTTAGCACATCACCAATCTGCAGAGCAACTCCCAGCACCTTTCCCCTTCTCCGCACTCTGCTCTCCTGCAGCATCCCCCTTCCCAAGCTCTGTGCTCCCTCCTCACCCCATCTCCCCATTAGGAGAACCCACAGTGCAGCCCAGGGATGCTGCAGGGCTCAGCCTTCTCCCAGCCCTTCTACCACCGTAGAGGTTTGGGTGCTGCCCTGAGCTCTGCAGCACCACTGCTCTTACCGCGCTTCTCTGCAGTGAAGGGACGCGGAGAAGATGAGGCTCTCTGGGACCACAGTGCTTTTATACCTTTTACCCACTCCGGAAGTGGAACACCTCCACATTGCAGAACTCTATCTGCTTATTTCATTCATCAAAGTTTTTTTTTTTTTTTTTTTTTCTTGCCTCCCCACTCTTTGGGTTGCTGTATGACTCACCGTGGCTGCGCTGGGTATCGCCTCTCCGCGTTGGTTCGTTCCTGTGCTGCAGAGATGTTTAATTGCCAACCCTCCCCGTGCTGAGCCCCACTGGGGAGTGTGGGTGGCCCTGATTTCCACAACGTGTTTTGGTGTTCACTGCAGCAGGGGTTCTCTCTGTCTTTAGAAGGGGAATAATCACAGAATCATTGCACACAGCTTTGGAAAGGTCTTGAGGTGCTCTCTACGCCTATAAGCCCATGAAGGTGTCCAGGGGCACCAGGAGTGCTTTCTGTACTGCAGACATCTCCACCCAAAGAGAGGTTTGAGTACAACCACTGTCAGCTGCTTTCTGCCAAAGTCAGCCAAAATGGGACACAATTGGGTGGTAAAAGAGAAAGGGCAGCTCCTATGGAGCTTTGTGTGGTCAGAAAGTTCTCTGCTGCTGTGAGAAGGACAAAAACAGGAATTAGAAATCCAGTTTGGTTCCTATTTTTGGAAGGTGATTCAGTTTGGTTGACTTTTGGCCCGTGGCTGATCGTGGGGTGGTGGTGTTGGTGGCTGTTGGAGGCCATGAGTGGAGCACCCATGAGTGCTGCCCCCGGGACTTTCCCTAAACCTGTAGCAACATCATTTCTGGAGCTCTCTTCTCCGCTCCCCAATTATCCTGTAATTTGGCAACAAACCCAAGGGTTGTTCAGATAGATGCATGGACCCACAGGAACCTCGAGGCCAGGCACCAGGGCTAATTGCAAGCAATGGTCTGAAATACTCCTTGCACCTTCCCTACACCTCTGCTGGGCACTGGGGCTGTGCCTCACATCACAGGTCCCATGTTGTCCTTTCTGTACCTAATCTCAGGAGATATTTTAGTTATTATACAGGCAGTAAACGCAAGACTAAAAGCAATACTGCAAAAGCAAACAGCAGGAATAAGGAACTGTTCAGGTTTTGCTGATCTGAAAGTGCTTGGAAAGCACGGGAGCACCAGCAATGTCATAGTTCTTCATGGAAGTGCCCCTTCAGCCTGATGCCAGTTCCTGTAAGGGGGACCTGGTGCCCAAACCTTTGTTTTGAGATCCTGAGTGGTTCCCAGCACCAGAAAACCTCTGACACATTCACTGCTGCTGGAACGTGGAGGGTTTTTAGAAAGGCGGAGGGCAGGGCTGCGTTCATGAATGAGGCATGCAACCCAAATGCTTCTTTTGTAATGCTTAATTGCTATTACGAGCTAAAACGGTGTCAGGGCAAATCGTACTCAGGTTGGATCCCTTCTTTTTTATTTATATTCTGTTCTCTCATCAGAAGCAGAAATACGATAAATATTCTCTGTGAAAAGAATGAAAATATCCATTCAATGCAATTAGTTGCTGTGGGCATCGTGCTGTGCTCAGCTCCTCCCATCTCTGATCTGATGCTGTTGGGGGTCAGCAGCCCTGAGCACCTCCAGGTTCTGTGCACGCCCACCTCATGGGAACAGGGCTGCAGTTGGGCTGAAGGCAGAGCTGGAATCAGTGGCTCTTCCAACCAACGTCGCATCCCCACACCAATGGTGGATGCCTGTGAGCATCGTGACACACTTGGGAGTCATCTTATCAGGGCAACAACCATTTATGTCACAAACGGCAATAGCAGACCAATAAATTACACAATTTGGTTTAATTACCTGTTGAGAATGAATTTATCAGTTCATCTCGTACCGCCGGCATCGCGCAACACCCCTGGACCAATCCAGGGCTCTCCAAGCACTGCTCAGAGGGGTTCTGGAGAGGCTGCCCAGGGTTTGGCACTGGGAGGAGGGATTTCAACCCCTGTCATGGTCTTAGAGGAGTGCTGTGGCCATAGAGTGGGTCTCAAAGGCTTGAATGTCACCGCCAATGGGGTCTCAATGGGAGATTTGGGGCCTGCAGCTCAGTGGGAGGGTGACACGGAGGGGTTGTGGCTGTGTGATCCAGACAGCATTTGTACATGTTCACTCTTCCTTATTTCATTAGGAGACCCCGAAGAAGAGGATGGCAGTGATGGCAGCACAGAGATGAGGATCTCTGTGCTAATGGTGCCCTGTGGTGCCGTGATGTGAAAGAAAAATCATGAATGCAAAAGTCTTGTGTGCTGCAAATTGCAATGGCTCGTTTATTATCAAAGATGGATAGAGAGAACACCGCGCCAGCGTGAACATGTGCAGTGCATTTCTGGTGCCCACAGATAAACCCATCGGATATTCAAGAGTGGCTGGGGAAGTGGGAGGAGAGAAGAGAAATTATGTTCTATGAGTGCTGGGAGACATGCAAGGATTCCTGAACTTGTGCAGAACAGCAGGAGATGTCCTGGTCACTTCATATTTGAGGATATTTGAGGGTTTGATAAATTTGCTGCTGGCAATCTTGTGGCTTTCCATGGCAGGATCCCCCGCTGCTCCCATGGCATCCAGATCCACTGCTCCCATGGCATCCAGATCCACTGCTCCTATGGCATCCAGACCCACCACTGCTGCTATGGCACCTGGATCCACTGCTCCCATGGCACCCGGAGCCCCCGCTGCCCCCTCCACACCCCTCACTGCTGTGGCACGAGGACTGGTCCTGTCGGTGGCACTGGTCCTTGTCCTGGCGGGAGCACATCTTCGCAGACCTGCAGGAAAGACCATCACCTTTGAGTCTTGCAAAGGCAAGATTATGGATCAAGAACAGATGCTTTTTATAGGCCTGGTTCTTGGAATGTGGATTAAAATTAGCAGTGCTTATCACCCTCCATGCCCTCTTTTGAGCAAATCTTTCACCTCAGTGCTTAGCAAAGACAGAAGGTAGATGTTAGAGCGCTCAGGGATGAGTGAGAAGTGGTGGTCAGACAGGATCTAGAGCTTGACTGGAAGAGTCTCACCATCAGCAGTTTGAAGCAGCAAATTCTGAGTTTTTCTCACTTCTCTCTATTATTTCCATACAGGACAAGATAAGGGAGCCACAAGGAATAAGAAATGCATCCAGAGAGAGAAGTGGAGACGAGAAGCACGAGAGAAGGCCAAGAATTTGAGATAGGGACAAAGCTGGCAGCGCGTAAAGCACAGCACTGCGAGGAGCCAGACTTACTCTGTTCGGTGGGAGCACAAGAGGAGATGTGAAGATGAGAGAATGAGGAGAAATGGTTACGAGGTTTTTTATAGGGAGCTGGAGTTTTTCCTCCGGAAACAAGGTGAGCTCCAGCAGAGGAGACTCAATGGTTCACCACCGCGGGTGCTTTGCTAATTGGAGTTTTTTTCCTCTCTTGTTTTGACTCACGGTGTCATGAATGGATCAATATCCTGTCTTTGGGATCACCATTCCTTCTGTTACTCCATAAAAATGCTAATTGCCTTCCACGCCTATTGTTCAGGTGCAGGGATGGGAGGTTCTGGATGGGCTTGCTGCATTCCCCTGAAGTATCCGCCTAACACGAAGCTGCCATGAGCCCAAGCTAGAAATGTGAACACATAGGAATGAGGGAAATGGGGTGGGATGTTGGACGTGGGATCCTCTGGGCTGCCAAGGAATCCAGTGAATAAAAGGAGCCTGAAATCAGCAAAGAACTACATGGTGATGTGTAGGAAAAAATGAGCGTGTTTCAACAGCCTAAGAAAAAGTTATGTAGGTTGTGAGTGGGCGAAGGAGGCAAAGAGAATTAGGGATGCAGGTATGAGCACACGATGGGAGATGAGTGCAGAGATGTCCTGTCAATGAGAACATCCTGCAGTGACCCTGGGGCAGCAGGGCCAGCCCTGGTGGGTTATGAAAGGAATGGAGAGGCCTGTGGGGTCAAAACCCATCCCTAAGGTTTGGAGCTTTGGGGTGGGAGGCTTTGAGGCAAACTCCCACTGGATGCAGTTGGAGTGATGGGAATGGGGCATGAAGGCAATAGGACCTCAAATGGGGCATGGGAGTAGGATCAGAGAAATGTATTTCTGAGTAAAACAGTGAAGAAGGACTAAAAAGAGTGCTGTGATATTGTTAACTCAGTCCTTCTGACCTGAAGGAGAGCCTTTAACCTAAACAAAGGGAATTGAAAGTCCTATAGGAGACAGAGAGCATCCAGACAGGAGGGTCAGACATCCATCCCATCCCTGCAATGTTCATTCCCAGTATCGATACTGGTCCCCTTTCTTTACTTTTAACTGAACTAAAAAGAGGGAAGGAATGTATTGTGACGTTTCTGGACTCTTCCCTCTGTCCTCCATCCCCACCTGTAATGGGGATCCTTGTCACTGCCCATTTGGGGCTCTGCTTTGGGGAGAAAAGTGCCTTTCTGCCTACAGAGAGCACCAGGCCTGATCCCAACCAGGACTCTAGAGGCCACTGTGATATTAATAATAGCACAGATTGAACTGAAATGAAACAGGGCTTGGGAGATTCATCACTGACCCATGGAGCTGAATCACCACATTGCAAAGACCCACGAGCAGATCGGAAGCTGTCTGGAGATATTTCACAAACAGCAGAAGAATGAGGATTCTTGTGAAACTAGTATTCACAACGGGGCACTAATTACACCCCAGATGGTGACAAACATGTTTATCACTTCTCTTGACGATAAAGCAGAGCAGGGAGGATGCTCACACGTTGGAGACCCATAGTCCTGACCCTATGGTGGGTGCTTTTTGATCCACACAAATATCATGTGTGCAGCACCTGAGTTTTGGGAGAGGCTTCCCTGAGTTCCTTCGTGTTGTCTAGAGGTTGTTTCCATGCATAATTTATTGCTTTTTTTTAATGAAAGAAATTGCAATTGTCTTGATCTGAGTCTCAGGAGCTGGGTTTGGGTCATGGTTTCTGAGTGGTTTATATGTGGCCGTGAACCTTCTGTATTTCAGTTACTGGTTTTCTGATGATGAAGGTGACGAATGAAGTACAGAACAAGTGTGGGTCCTTGGGAGAATCTGGGAAACCACCAAATTTCTCACTGATTTTTGGCTTGGAGGGAGCAATCCTCCAGCTATCCTTATCCATTCCCAGCAGCTCCAGGGGGATACAGAAGTGGATTTGGATGCTGTGGCTGCAGTCCTTGGAGCTGCGCTTGTTTTAGGGACTGTGTGCTCTGTAAGGTGTCCCAGCATCACCTTCACATGAGGAAGAGCCCAGTGAGGAAGGCTGCATGTTAAGAGACCCATGTATACATAAAACTCCAGTCCAGGAAGGGGCACCTGTATTAACTTTTTTTCCTCTCTGTGTTGTGCTGCAGGGAAATCTCCACCATTACTGCTGCTGGGCAGCTGGTTCTGTGATGTGTCACATCCTGCAAGCTGGGGCATGCAGGAGGCCGGGACTGGGGACCATGGAGGATGGAGGCTCTGTGTTGGGTGAGATGCAAGAATCCACCTGGGGCCACCTGGAGTCCCCTGAGAGCCACTTGGAAACACCAGGAGTCCCCTAGGAGCCACCTGGAGTTCTCCAGGATCCACTTGGAGCCATCTGGAGTCCCCTGGGAGCTGCTTGGAGCCAGCTGGAATACCCTAGGAGCCACCTGGAGCCTCCTGAGACGCAGAGCTGTGAGTCACCGACACATCCCTGCTGTGTTACTAGGATCCTCCCAGAGGGCTCCTCCTCACCCAACAGCCCTGACCCTACTGGGACCTCAGGGTCTTCTGCCCTGCTACAGAGATCCAATTCCCCCTCAGTGTCAACCACTGCTATAATTCAACATCTCCTTTGTCTTGCGTTCCTGGCCAGGTGGTTCCAATTCCTCCCCCAGGACAAAGGCTCCATCCCCTTCAGCATCCCCTCTGGCTCTGCCTTTGCTCCCGATTCCTTTCCTGGTCTTTTCTCCAGGGCTGATTTTGGAGGCTTGGTGATGTAAATCAAACCGTACCCGCTACTCTCTCAGGGAATTAAATGATGTGTCAATAAGAACTTTTCATTTTTACCTCTCTGATGCAGTCTATGTGGTTTTTTTTAATATTAGTATATTAGTATTTAATTGCTGGGTTGCACAGAGTCCATGACAAAAGCTGTTGGCTCCCTCTCAGCAGGAAGCAGCGCCTTAGGAAAACTTGGCACCAGGTGGGATTGACCAGGAATCTCCAAGCCAGGGAGAGTAGGGATGCTGGACTTCAGCTCCCACCACAAGAAGGGACAGAAGCAATTTAAAGAGACAGAGAGATGATTCATAGAATAGAAAGCATTGATACGAGGTGGTCATGAGCTGTATTTTTTATTGTCTCTGTACCTGCCATGAAAGAACGAAGAGAGGTGAATCAATCACAGCACGAGGGTATTGCAGCGTTACATGACTCACAAAGACAAGGAAGAACACTTGGCATTGCACACTGAGACAGTGGGTTACATCTTCAAATCACATCACAAGCAACATGTCAGGAAGAGTGGAAATCCCCAAGGACATGTGGAACACCAGGGCAACACTATGAGAAGTTTCTCACTCATCCCCACTCTTCGCATCCCTTACTTTATCTTTCGGGCTGGCACCTTGCAGACCTGCTGCTGCTGTTGGCGGGGGATGCACTTGGCCGTGGGTACTTGCTGCACAGGAGCTGGCATGGGGCAGCACTGTGGGATGCACTGCACTGGCTCACTGCATTGTGGCTGCTGAACTGAACTGTGGCATCCCCCTCCCGAGGAACCCTGGCACCGCTTGGAGCACACTGACCTCCCATAGCCCTGGCATCCTCCAGTTGACCCATAGCTGTAGGTGGGTCTCCTGACACAGCTCGAGCCACCACCTCCGTGGCACGAACCCGAGGACCCCTGGCACCTCTCAGAGCACACTGATCGCCCATAGCCCTGGCATCCTCCACTTGACCCATAGCTGTAGGTGGGCCTCCTGACACAGCTGGATCCACCACCTCCATGGCATGAACCTGAGGACCCCTGGCACCTCTCGGAGCACACCGACCTCCCATAGCCCTGACATCCTCCTGTTGACCCATAGCTGTAGGTGGGTCTCCTGGCGCAGCTGGATCCTCCACCTCCATGGCACGACTCAGTCGTGGTGTAGCCTTGGCATCTCTCAGAGCAGACCGGCTGCCGGTAGCTGTAGTGCCGGTAGTTGTGCCCTCTCATTCCCTCCACGCCTTCGCCGTCGCACCGTGAGGAGCAGCAGTTGTTGTAGCCATAGCGGAACGGTGTGCGCCGGGTGTCCAGCCAGGACCCAGCAGGGTCATACCAGGTGGAGTTCAGGTTGAAGTAGGATTCTCTTCCGGAGGAGTAGATCATGTTGGAATTGCAGGGAAAAACCTGGGAAACACAGATAGGTCTTCATTTCCACATCCCTTCTTTTTATTTAGCTTCCCATGCATAGCCCAGCCCTGCTTGTCATCAAGACCAGATCTGAAAGACATTCTTGCTATCACCCAATATTTCCAAACCCTCTTTCTGACCTTGCACTGATTTTTTCATCTCCCAGTACAGAAGCAGCCATAAGGTGCTGCAGCACACAGTGGAACTGCTGAAAATCCCAACCCACATTCCCCAGTAGCTTCCACTCTGCTTAGCCCCTGGTTAAGTGCAGTCCAAAGGAAGGCTCTCGTGTCCCCACTGCATTACCTCCTGCATCCCAACCACCTCAAATCCATCCCAGCTGCTCTGAGCTGCCTTACCCAAGTGATGAAGGAAGGCAGATGCAGACCAGGGGAGCAGATTGTGAGAGGCAAAGGGACGGAGCCCTTTTATAGGGTTACAGATCTTCTCCCTGTAAATGAAACACACTGCAGGAACGAGGATTAAATTATTTATTGACTAAACATCCCTTCCATTTGGATGCTGTTCCCGGGACTTGGCGTGTTCTACTTGACTCATGATTCTTGATAAGTATCTCTTAATTATACCAGTTACTGAGAAGTGCACATAAAGGAACTGCAGTGCTCAAGCTCATATGGGCTCTGTGAGGCAGGTAATAACGCACTTATTGCCCAGCTGAGAGGACCGAGACACTGAGTGGAGGCTGATGGGTGACTGATGAGTCAGGAGCCCTCATGCGCACAGCGTTTTTGCCCTGGCATTCCCTCTACTCCTCATAGGAGCACCTCCAGCACAACCAGGGATAGGGAACAGCCAGCACTGAGTCACTGAGAGCAAACCATGCTGATAGGTTCGGTGATGAAGGGACTGATTTTGTGGATGGGGAGTACAGTGCATAGAGCCCCTTCCATTTCTTCCCAGCTCTGCAGTGCCCTTGGTAACCCCAGCTCTGGGCAGAGGTTCCCATAGAGCTGTGATGGGAGGAGGTTGGGAAAAATAAATGGACTCAGGGAGGGATTTTGAAAGTTAAAGTTCCAGCGGAAGTGGGTTTTCCTTGACAATAAAAATCAATCATGGTTGTTTTCTGCATAAAGTAAATGTGTTTTTTTTCCCCCCTGTTTTTCCTTGGGATTACTAGGGTCACTTGGGGCTGTGACTGGGGGCAATACGAAGAAAGAACACTGTGTGTATGAATGCACGCAGGGAAAGATTTGCTGGCAAAGCAGCACAGCAGCAGTGGGGGAAGAGCTGAACTGTGCTTCCTGCACTGAGTGAAAGCATTCCTGGCATGCACAGACACACCTCACGTGCTGGGACACATGCCTAATTATCATGATTAACATTTCCATGATGGATGGCGTCCCGGTGTGGTGTTACTGCCCGGATAATGGAGTGGTAGCACACAGGGAGCAAACAGCTGGTCTAGGGTCACTTGGTGGGGTGTGTGATGGACCATGGGGAAGTCCATCCATTGCCCATCATGTGGGTACCACCATGCAGGGGAGTACACAGCACACAGCTGCAGCTCAGCCCAATGAAATGGCCTTAGTTGGGGCTGAGGTCCTCATGTGTGAACTCAGATTCTGTTTTCCACTTAACAGATTTCCTTATGAGAACTGTAATGACTTCTAATATCTGCTCATCGTAATGTTGGGGGTAAAAGAAGAAGGGACCAAGTGTCAGTGGAATTTTGTCAACTTTATTATTGAGTACACAGGGAGAAAGTCAACTTGCAGGAGTCCCCGTTGCTCCTGCCCTCACAGTGTGAGTCTTTTTCCAACCCAGCCCCATCCCTTGTTTGGAACAGCCCTGAGATTATGATGCACTGAAGCTGTGAGAGAAGGAGCACTGGTTATCAGCTGCCTGCACCTCCTGGTGTTCATCGATCACCTGGATGCTTGTCTTCCCCCCAGGTGGGAGACCCAGGAGCAAAGTGGGGCTGGGGTGATTGAGTTCTGTTCTTTGGTGGAGAAAACCCCTGGCAATTTCATAGCATTGTGGAATGGTTTGGGTTGGAAGGGACCTTAAATATTAACTGGTCCAACCCCTGCCACGGGCAGAACAGCTCCCACCAGGTCGGGCTGCCCAGAGTTCCATCCAGTGTGGCCCTGAGCACCTCCAGCGATGGGGCATCCACCTCTTCCCTGGGCAGCTGTGCCCGGAACTGGATTTAGAGTGTTGGTGCCATCATAAGGCAGGGGACCACAGTCCCTGAAGTCCCTGAAGTGTGCAGAGCAGCAGCCAGAAAGCAGAGGTGGCAGCACCAGCAGCTTGGGCAAAAAGCAGAGCACCTCCATGCTGAGCTTGGGGGCAGCAGTGTGGGGCAACGTGTTGGCGTGGGACCCCTCTTCATTTCTTATGCTGGAAGGGTGGCAAGATCTGCACTTGTTTGCACTGGTGCTGGTCAGGATGCTGGGGCAAGGGCACAGTGGTGGGGCAGCAGTGCTGGACAGGAGGACTGTAGTGCTGGACAGATGGACGGCAGTGCTGGACAGGTGGACGGCAGTAGGGGATGCAGGGACAGCGGTGCTGCAAGGGTCGGGGATGAAGTATGATGGGTTCCTCAGAGGGACACTGCTCCACTCTCCGGCGGGGCTTACAGCAGCCCTGCTCCTCGCTCTGCAGTGGTGGTCGGTACTGCTGCAGTGGCCGGCGGTGGATTTTCACTGGTGGGCAAACGGGCTGCACAGGGCTCACCTCCACCCGACGACGGGGTTTACCACAATCCCAGCTGTGCTGTGCCGGGCAGCAGCCGCGGGGCGGGCAGGGCTCTACTGGTTGGCAGCCCTCTGGCACGCTCTCGCAGGACCCCTCGATGTCGTGGCTGAGGCTGCTACGGTCATGGCATGGAGACAGATCTGGGATGCTCACGGGGCTGTCGTGGCAACCGCAGGTTGCATCATCGTGGCACGCATCCAAGTCATCTTCGCCTTTACGGTACTGCATCGCGCAGCAGAGATGGCCAAGCCCTCGGGGATAAACAGGCTGGGAAAAAGAAAACAATGGAGTTTTGCATTTTGGGGCTGTTTCTAGGCAAAAATTAGGAATCTGAGACAGCAGAGGGAATCCAACTCACCCCGTGACCGCTGGTGGTGGCTGAGCAGTGTCCGAGTCCTGAGGACCGCGCCAGAGCCAAAAGCTTTTATATGCAGCTGCGCTCTCCTGGCAGTGAGACATGCCATGGGAATTAATAGCTGAGCACTGAGTGCCACTTCTGCATGTATTTTTTTTTTTTTTTCTGGCACTTACTATTGGATTAATCAGCTGCAATTAGCATCTCCCTTGCTGTAATGTCAGCGTAGCTCTTTGCATATGCATTGGCCATTATCTAATTAGTTCTCCCATCGGTCACACTCAAATAGGCTGTTACCTAATGTACGTCAGATGGGATATGGGATAAGGATACCTGGAATGCCGTGAT